CCACGCAGATGCGCACACACACACAGCCATTTGAACCTTTGGAAATAGTATAATTCTGTCGGCCTAATTCAGAAAAAAGCCACAGGCCCAATGTTATGCTCATTTCACAAGCCCCTTTATAAGACTTTTATAGAATATGTATATTGTGTGTAAAATTACTAACACCGTTGAAAAAATATTGAAAAGTGATTGCTTGCCATATTATTCTTTTATTTATAACGGATTCTCCAACTTTTGTATAATGGTCCAGGAGACATTCGTACAATTTCAAAAACACTTTTTGGTCTTATACTCGTAAAAGGTTACTGTTCAATTTCAAGGCGCAAAAACAATCTCAAATTCTTTTGAAACTTAAACAAATATATAGGAATAGGGCAAGTGATACATTTATATGTGTACTTTAATAAAAATACTGATATTTTGAGCCATTTGTCAATCCAACGTTGGATTAAGGGCCCCTCAAGACGGTGTCGATCGTGGGGATTGTTTGACCGTACTTCACCACGGCGGTCATCATGAGCAGACGTGTTTCGAGCCTGGAATTGAACGGGGAAGGGGTGTTGGTCTCTCAGCAGTATGGGGACGAGCAGAGGAAATTCCGGACAATTCCAAACAACCGCCGTGTCGGCCATGGGCGTTGTTTTTTTCACGGCCTAGCGAAGCAGATGGCCCAGGATTGGGTTCGGATATCACTCGCCACCAACGTGAGCCATGATTAAGAATCGAACTCGGGGTGTCGGGTTCATAGCGGAGCACTCCGAGCAACGAACCTCCGCTCCATCCATCATTTAATAATTGACAACAACAACAACAACAAAAACTTACGCTCGTGAACAACGCTGCCTCAAAATGCAAAAATAAATACACATTGCAAAGCAACATAAAATTGATGACTTTTCAGGAAATTGACTTTTTTGTTGTTAATTGTGCTCGTGTACCATTGCCAACGCATCAGCAGCAGCATCGCCAAACAAAGTCGTCGAATAATTTACAACACCATGATTGAAAAGTGCTTTCGAACTGAAGTTCCCCCCCCCCCCCCCCCCACTTTTGCACATCAATACACGTACAACAAAGACAAAGATCCCCCGTATAGTCTATAACAGACTGTCGGGGCAAGTGCCGTTAACGAGCTCCTATGAAGGCCGTAAGGGCACATGAGGGGGTGGGTGGCCAGCACCACGCCCAGCCGCCTTTGTCTCCCCAGTGGCGATGTTTACTACACACCGCACCAGGTACTCGTTTGCGACTGAGTCCATCTCAGGGAGGCCCAGGACCAGTTCAGGTGTTGGCCGTGAGCGGGAATCGAACTCGGGTCGCTGGGTTCGTAGCAGAGCGTGCTCACCGCGACACTACCGCACCCACAACAACACACCAACACACGCACGCACAGGTGACACAACACAACCCGCGCGCAACGATGGCGGCGACAACGCAGGTGTTTAACCGGGTCCCTTCTCACTTAATTGCACCTACAGACGCGGCAGACACGCTATAAATAATGAACGAGAAACAGCGCGCGGTAATGATTCATACGCCGCCCGAAGGCAACGGGGCTTTATCGTTAGGTTGCAGCTTCAGTCTCTTTGAAAGAAAAAAAAAACCCAATCCCCCAACACGCTCCCGTGTATACGGTGTCGTGTACTGCGGGGCATCTGCCGTTAACCCCTTCATAGCGCGTGTCGGCGCGTTCCGGGCGGCGTTTTCCCCACATCGGCGCGCGTTTGAAATCAGGGGGACCGTTGCCCACGTTCGTCGTCGTCTTATTTTTTATTTTGGGGGAGTTTTTTTTCCTGTAATTATATTCGTGCACGGCGTTTGAAAAAAATGTTACACTCGCAGCTGGCGCCACGGTACTTTGCTCGAAACGCATTAATCCGATCATGCATTTGATGTTTTGGAAAGAACACAAACCTGATCGCTCAGGGAACACGATGTGTGCGTTTCGATAACTTGCGATTTATTTTTAAAGTGCGCGCGAGCTTAAATTGTAATTGCCATTGTAAAAGCAGGGCTGTGCAGGTTGGCAGACGGTCAAAGCCAAGGGCCAGGAAGAATTGTGTTGAAATGTTATAGAGCGCGAGTAAAGCCGGGGTTAGCCGCTAACCATTGGCGTAGCTATCGAGTATGCAGGCGGTGTAACTGCACCAGGGTCAGTGGGGCTAGGAGGGCCCCAAGCATCGGGCTGCAAAGACAAGGGAAACAGAACAGGAGACTCCCCTCCCCCCATATCATTCTGTACACGAGGCCCCATGCTAACCATCCTCCTCCGCCACCTTTAAACTGTCATCATGAGGCCATCGGAGCAATAAGCAGTTGCGCTTCCAGAATCACGAAAGGAAGTTGAAGCGAAATAAATATTCGGGTTGTACCTCGCGCGCACACGCGGCAGTAGCAATGGCACTCGGCGCAACCTGCTGCACAAACCCAGCAGCACAAACCCAGCAGCACAAACCCTGCAGCACAAACCCTGCAGCACAAACCCTGCAGCACAAACCCTGCAGCACAAACCCAGCAGCACAAACCCAGCAGCACAAACCCAGCAGTACAAACCCTGCAGCACAAACCCAGCAGCACAAACCCAGCAGCACAAACCCAGCAGCACAAACCCAGCAGCACAAACCCAACAGGACAAACCCAGCAGTACAAACCCAGCAGTACAAACCCAGCAGGACAAACCCAGCAGGACAAACCCGGCAGGACAAACCCAGCAGGACAAACCCAGCAGGACAAACCCAGCAGGACAAACCCAACAGCACAAACCCAGCAGCACAAACCCAGCAGCACAAACCCAGCAGCACAAACCCAGCAGCACAAACCCAGCAGCACCAACCCAGCAGCACAAACCCAGCAGCACAAACCCAGCAGCACAAACCCAGCAGCACAAACCCAGCAGCACAAACCCAGCAGGACAAACCCAGCAGCACAAACCCAACAGCACAAACCCAACAGCACAAACCCAGCAGCACAAAGCCAGCAGCACAAACCCAGCAACACAAACCCAGCAGCACAAACCCAGCAGCACAAACCCAGCAGCACAAACCCAGCAGCACAAACCCAGCAGCACAAACCCAGCAGCACAAAGCCAGCAGCACAAACCCAGCAGCACAAACCCAGCAGCACAAACCCAACAGCACAAACCCAACAGCACAAACCCAGCAGCACAAACCCAGCAGCATAGATTTTTTAAAATATCTTGGCACATGTTCAATCTGATCCGAAATTCGTTTTCGTTTGACTAAAACGTAGCGACGTCCCCATCACCAACAATGAAACGAAGATTGCCAACATTTGTTTTCATGGATTTTTGAAATTTGGCCAAGACTAGAATCTAGGCCAAAATGTTCAAAAGTATTGCATTGGTCAGAGTGCACGTAAACATCCTTCGCCTTGTTGTTGTTGTCTTACCTGAGACGTGTATACAAGTTTGTAAAAAGGCGGAGTGCATAGCAGGCTCTGGATACATTTAAGTGAAGATAGTTGAATGGTTTTATGACCAGATAATGTGGATAGCTTTTAGGAGACAGCAGAGGCCAGCGGAGTCATCAAAGGTTTTTTTTTATGGGATGGTGTGCTTGAATGTATTTACGGCCGGATAATCTCAGTGGCTGCTCATAGAGGATATAGTCTTGGGACTCTTTATGATATGGTTTGTCTTAGGGTAGAGTCCTCTGGATGCTGATAGGGGGGAAGGCCACTTTTGAAAGTCTTCATGTCAGGTGCAATCCGACACGTCTACAACAGACAGAGGCCTCCTTCGACATATTGAGGGGTGGGCACTGTGCAGTGTGTGGTGCACGATGGGTGTTGCAGGCAAGACAGCAGCATCTCACGCATAGACATCTTCAAAATTTAACATGTTGACTCTACAGTGACTCTATGGACGATAGGGAGGGGGGGACGCCATGTGGAGGAGCTGTAGCCAACGGTCAAATCTGCAAATCCGTCGGTCAGTCGGTCACTCCGTCATATTTGCTCAAATTTATATTGATGGTGACCCAATACAACAGCATCACAATGCAGTTCTTTGGGAAATGCTGTATATTTTTTTTTTACACATGCACTGAAACGCCGTGTGCTTTTTTTTACACCATTTTCTGCGCGCCGTTTGAAATTTTTCGCCGTGGGGTGGACGCACGAGGTGGATTAGTTTCACACATGAAGGACGTGGGTACGTATCCCCTCGCGTCAGATTACACAGTAAGTCCCCCCCCCCCTCGCCCTTCGGCTGTTGTGTCTCTCCACCGAGTGACCCTTTTAATCCACCCACAAGTTTCATTCTAACGGTAAAAAGCGTCCATTGCAATCTTCCATCTCCATGGCCACAGGCAATATTTCGCGGAGGACTAAAAGATCTCTCTTCTGCCTCCAAATCCACCAAATTGTGGAGGGAGCAGTGATGTGGCCCATTACCTCCCCCTCCCCGTTGTAGTGCTGCATGTGGCCGTGTGGTCACAGGGGGGTTACTTTGACCTCCTGACCCTCGCCCTGACCCACGACGCACACAGCCTCATCCCAGTGGCGTCGCGTGGTTGGCATGGCCGTGGTGCAAGAAAGCAAAATTAGAGCCCCCCCCCCCCTCTTTTAACCTCCTCCCCCCCCACCCTCGACTTCCCTCCCTCCCTCTTCGTAACTCCGGTGGCCGTGCATGTCCGACCCCGTGCACCACGGAGCAGTTGCACCACCTGCACACTCGATAGCGAGCTCGCCGTCTCATCCTCACCGCCCGCACGTGCGCGCGCGCGTGCGAGCGTGGATGTATGCACATCCGTGCATGGATGCGTGTACATACGTGCGTGCGTGGATGCGTGCACATCCATGCGCCCGTGTGTGAGTGCGTGCGTGCGTGGATGCATGCACATCCATGCGCCCGTGTGTGAGTGTGTGCGTGCGTGTGTGGATGCGTGCACATCCATGCGCCCGTGTGTGTGTGCGTGCGTGGATGCATGCACATCCATGCGCACGTGTGTGAGTGCGTGTGTGCGTGCGTGCAAACTCACGGAGCGAGTGCCACTCGTCCTGGCGGATGGCGCGCGTCACGTTGTAAGGCAGGTTTTTTGGCAGCGATGTGGACGAGTAGTGATACTTTATCGGGAAGCAGCGCTGGATGATGCCTGCAGGTCCGACATAAACGGCCGTGAGTTCGCGCCCTCGACAGAGCCAGCAACATCAGCAGCACATCGGCGGCAGTCGACGCAGACGGTGCAACGCGCGCGTGTACGTTTGTTTACACAACACTCGTTTGCGTAGCGTCGAAGTGTAAAATGTGCGTAGGTGTGTGGCAAGGTCACGTGCGTACACACACAACCACTCACGTGCGATGTACACAAATACAACAAGTTGGCACCAGTGGGAATAAAGCTTTCCCTGTTTAACGTGCAAGTGAAACGGGTCGTTAGTTTTTTTTTAATAATACATAGCAGCATTGTAGAATAAGATGTGACCAGGTGATGGCATGAGAGCAATGGTTCGTGAAGCTATCCGAGCGTAACTTTGCGTGTTATCTCTACGTACGTGTGGTGGGTTTTATCTGGGTACTCCGGTTTCCGCCACGTGCAAAGCACTCAACGCGATGTGGGGAAACACTCCAATGCAGGAACCCTCCTGGAAATCCGCCTCGAGACTTGGCGAGTATCGAGACTCAGCTGGGTGACTGTGGCGCAAGTGGCTACACGGGACCATAGTTTGCATAGCAAGTAAAATCAATATAAGAATAAATAGTACTCTTTGGGTCTTTCGGTAAAGTCACGTAGATAGAAAAAAAAGGAAAAAATCACGACGTTTCGATCGCAACACAAGCAATCGTCTTCAGGTGAAAAAATACAGCAGGCGGACTGCTGAGGCAGGAAGAAATATCTATGTGACTTTACCGAAATACCCAAAGAGTATGAATTCCTGCAGTCACGAAAGCTTTGAGTCAATATAAGAATAGGATGTACCCTTTCTGGCAATAAAATAGATGTGAGAAGATGTTAAAACACCAAACTGAAACCTTTTGCAAGGAATCATGTCTGCATTAACCACGGACACGTGTGGTGAACATGCAAACAAAAAAACACGCTCTGAATCTGATTGGTCCACACCAGAGACAGCTTTCTTGAGAGGCTAGTCTCAAACGGCGTTAGACCAGAGGATGCCAAAAGGCGAACAGCATAAAGATAATGTCACTATCAGGACATTGAGAGCTCGGGGTGAGCAGCTACATCATGGGACCTCCCTTGCCAGTATATCAAAATATAATAATAGGTTTTACCCTTTCTGGCAATAAAACAGTTGTGTTAAGATGTTAAAACACCATAAGATGTTCAAACACAATGCATGTTCACCACAAGTATATGTGGTTAATTCAGAAATGATTCCTTGCAAAAGGTTTCGTGTTTAAACATTTTCCAAAAATTGTAAAACCTATTATTATATTTTGATACTCCCAAGGGAGGTTCCATGATGAAGTTCAAATAAACTCAAACTCATTGAATAAAGGGTCATTATTTTAGAAAAACGAAAACCCAATGTGGACCGTACGAGCAGCGCAAGAGAAAAAGCACCCTCCCACCGCTTGATACACGTATTGATTGAGAATGGCTTTGTTTGATGTGTGTGTCAGAAAATAAAAATAAATCCCATTTATGTTTCTCGCCGAGAAGCAAGAGAAGTTTTGAGCACCTGGTCTTCTTCAGAAATTGTTTATTTTTACGAAAAGGCATCCCGTGAAACAAAACGCCTCCTATTCTTTTTTTACTCCCACTTGACCCGTGTACAGCTGCCGAGATGGCAACAATTCACAGGACCAGATACACGAAGCATGTTTATGTTTTATGTGTTTTTTTTTACTCTTTCAGGAAAAATACAACACCATTGTGCATCAAACAACACAAGCCTCGCAGCTTTAATGACAGACAAGTTCACGCGGGAAAGGCCGTGCGTGCGTGTACGCTGTGGGGAGCGGTCGTGTTGTGGTTAACGCAAACGCAAGACGCGAACCCGCCCTCCCGAGTTCGATTCCCTCTCGTGGCCAACATCACCGGTCAATATCGAGCCCAGTGCTGGACCTGCCCCTAGCTCGACTTGTGGTGCTGCACCCAGGCTTGGATCGTGTATAGATGGGGGCGTAGGTGAGAGGGCGAGCCCTTTGCCAACGAGACTTTAAACTGTGTTGACGCGGCTTTAAATGCCGCGCGATGATAGACGGGGACAAAGGCGATTGTTGCGCGAATGTTGAAGATGAAAGCCAACGGACACAATAAGGTGCAGGCCCCACGCAGGTGCGATGGTGCACGAGGTGACCGGGTGACTCAGAGGTCAAAGGTCAGAGCACTGAGCTGGCACCGCTGAGAGCCTGGGTTTGAATCCAGGCAGCCGGTTTAAATCGGGTTCTCAAGGGCAGTGACGAGACGATGCCCTCTGCTCAGACACTAGTGATGGCACAGAAACACCTTCTCTCCCCCAACGCATTAAATTTAGTTCTGTACTTAATTTGGCTCAATTCTCGCTTCGAGAATAAAAAAATATCAGTTTTTAACTGTCACGCTTCCGCAGGCGGTTCTCTACCAGGAAGGTTTGCGCTGCTCTGCGAGAGATGCGAGCGGACACTTCACCAATTGCAATTTTGGGTTAAAAATAAGGAAGCAATCCATCAAAAAAATGATGCGGTGCTGCATCTCCGTGACACAGCAGTTTAGAGGCAACGGTTAGTGGGTCACCGAGATTTGTGAAACTCCCAAACCCAGCAAATGGGTTCACGAACTCATCCATAGAGTGGGCCTTGGGAGTGCCGTCCCTGGTACAGTATTCGGGGGTTTTCTCCAGGCACTCCGGTTTTCCTCCTTCAAGCAAAAACGCTAATGAAAATTGAATTGGACAGATATGCCATTGCAGCAACCTCCTGCCAAAATTGTCTCGAGACTTAGCGAGGCTTGTTATGATGGATAGATAGACAAATGACTATTTACACAGGGGTCTACGAGCAGGGCACAGCAAAGGCCAATGCTCATTATGTTGCATTGATGAACCTTAACAGCAGCTAAGCAGTGCACAGTTGGGTCATGACCCCAGCTGTTCAAAAAAAAGCCATATGACCACGTGACCTCCGATTAGCAAGGTGGGCTACGTACAATGTGAAAGAAATTTAGCATGCACACAAAGACAAATATTCCCCCGTGAAGCCTTAACAGACTGTTGGGGCAAGCGCTGTTAACAAAGTAGCACCTATGAAGGTCGAAACGGCACACGAGGGGGTGGGTGGCCAGCACCATGCCCGGCCGCCTTTGTCTCCCTAGTGGCAATGTTTTTTTTACACATCGCACCAGGCACTCATTTGAGGCCGAGTCAGGCCTAGGGGAGGCCCACGTCACCAGTGTTTGCCACGAGCGGGAAATCGAACCCGGGTCGCCGGATTCGTGGCGTGGCGCGGTAACCGTTACGCTACCGCTCCCCACACACACACCAGCCCTCTCTCACTCTGCTCCCAGACCTGGGCCCTGCAAATCTCACCCACAACTACTAGGATGCCCTTGCTCCCCTCTTTTGAATTTAGTGCCTAAACCCACCCCCAACGCGCCCCCTCACAGGTGAATCCCAAACGTGGCACCTGCGCCACCAAGTGTCCGTTTGGAACTCAAGAGAGCAGTGCACCACCACGTGCTGGAGAACGGCCCGCGGAGGTTAATATGTCCGAGCTACGCCTTGAGATTGCCTTCAAGTTGGCGTCCTCGTTCAATCCAAGGCCTAGGAGGGAGCACATTTTCTCACACTTCCCGACTCCATGTGGCAGTCGGAGACATTTTTCTTTGTTTTAAATCTCGGGGGTAAGTTGGGAGTTAGGGGCCATCCATAAATGACGTCACGCACCTAGGGGGGGGGGGGGGGGTTAGACATTTGTGACGATGTGTGACGAGGGGGGGGGGGTTGAGAAATGTGACGTCACATCAAAATTCGTAACTTTAAATAAATATAGACAACACGTTCTACATAATTAAATAGACTTTTTAATAAATGCATGTTTTCTCCTACAACATCAGAGTGCAGCGCCACATTAAATACGCACTACAATGACAATAGTTTCAAGCGATTTGAAGCATGTTTTATTTTTGGGGGGGGCAGAGCTTTGTGACGTCATATTTGCGGGGGGGGGGGGTCTGACTTTTTCTGACGTCGTGTGACGAAGGGGAGGGGGGGACGGCCCCTTAGCCGAATTAAGTGAAACATCCAATTTAATCTGTTTTCATTTAGAACTCATCGATGACCATTGTTGTTGTCCTCATCATCGTTGTTGGCTTTATCATTGTTGTTGTCTTTGTCATTGTTGTTGTCTTTGTCATCGTTGTTGTCCTCATCATTGTTGTTGTCTTTTTCATTGTTGTTGTCCTCATCATCGTTGTTGTCCTCATCATTGTTGTTGTCTTTGTCATCGTTGTTGTCTTTGTCATTGTTGTTGTCCTCATCGTCATCGTTGTTGTTGTCCTCATCGTCATCGTTGTTGTCTTTGCCATTGTTGTTGTCCTCATCGTCATCGTTGTTGTCTTTGTCATTGTTGTTGTCCTCATCGTCATCGTTGTTGTCTTTGCCATTGTTGTTGTCCTCATCGTCATCGTTGTTGTCTTTGTCATTGTTGTTGTCCTCATCGTCATCGTTGTTGTCTTTGTCATTGTTGTTGTCCTTATCATCGTTGTTGTCTTTGTCATTGTTGTTGTCCTTATCATCGTTGTTGTCTTTGTCATTGTTGTTGTCCTCATCGTCATCGTTGTTGTCTTTATCATTGTTGTTGTCCTCATCATCGTTGTTGTCTTTGTCATCGTTGTTGTCCTCATCATCGTTGTTGTCTTTGTCATCGTTGTTGTCCTCATCGTCATCGTTGTTGTCATCATCGTTGTTGTCTTTGTCATTGTTGTTGTCCTCATCATCGTTGTTGTCTTTGTCATCGTTGTTGTCCTCATCGTCATCGTTGTTGTCCTCATCATCGTTGTTGTCTTTGTCATTGTTGTTGTCCTCAACGTCGTCGTTGTTGTCTTTATCATTGTTGTTGTCCTCATCGTTGTCGCGTGCGTTTTGTCGGCTCTCTCTCCCCCCTCCCGCCCGCCGCCCCAACAGAGCCGGCAATCCGGTGGCACCCCGTAGC